CACCTGCAGACATCTGGAGACAGGATTTTGGATATGTGCATACACTAGACATTTTCTTTACCTCATACAATGCTGTAAACACTGCATTTGCAGCTTTGTAATGCTGAAAATTCGGGGTATGATTTGAGTAAGGTCGACTGTAAGAACACTGAAATAAGGATTCCAATACTTAGAGAGGCAAACCAGAAAGAGAACATCACTGATGATATTCTTCTCTTCATACACTTTGTTAGCTAAGGTCTCATTTTTGGGGAAAGCAGGTCCTTTCTTTCAGGAAGCATCTTTTGTCTTGCAGGGTGAAAGCAATTGCTATTGTAGCCCAGATAAAATCTACCATTTAACATGCTCCTTGAAGACAACAAATCTTAGCCCTACCTTTATACAATGGTTACAACTCCAGAAAGGCAGCTTTGCCCTTGAATTGACACAGATGGCAGAAGTCAGCTCAGTTGCTCAGAGTTTGGTTTTGGTTTTCTTTTTGTTTGCCAAGGTAAAAGTCAGACAAGCAATATCTAAATTCTTTCCATGTGAATTGCTGTGATCTTGATTAAAGTCTCAGCTTTGGAAAGGGAGGTCAGTAGGGAATACTCTCATTTCAAAATAGTTCTGTTTCAGCCCTTTCCCAGGCCTGTCAGAGAATGCTTAGTACCTTGTCACTTGGTCCCATTGCTTCCTGAAATGCTTACAGCCTACAGTGTTTCACCACAAAGGACCAAATCTTAAATTAAGGGAGGGTTAATTAGACCTCGTGCACATCCCCCTTGAATTTGGAACACTTCTTAGCAGGGTTTGCTTGCAGTGGGTGTATCAGCTCTGATGAGTTCTGGTTGTATTGCAGCAGAGAAAGTGAACTTGAAGGTCAACCATGCCCTTGCTTAAGGGATCTGGTTACATCTGTTGTACGTGTTGCCTCTAGTCCTTACCTTGTGTGATCCCCAGCTTACTTTCTCCACGAAATTTCAGCATCTGTCCAGCTGTTCAGGCTGCCCATGTGCTGAGGGATAACTCACTGCATCTGCCTTGGGCATCTGTCCCCACTGGCTGGGGATGCCCAGCTGAACTTTTAGTTCATTAAAATAGTTCATTTAGTTCATTTGCACTGTCATTGGCCAAACTTGTGGGTACTTGTTCTGATGGCAGGAAACGAAGAGAAGCGACAATCCTTCGTTCAGCAGCAGCGTGTGAGTGAATGCTGGTTGCACCCTGACAACTGTGGGTCAAAGTCTGTGCGTTCATGGATGTGCTTTAATATTTTTACTTTTTTCCTTCACTGATACAAATTACCCAGTTAAGAAGTTAAGGCTACTCGTGTAATTCATGCCTTCAGGCCCAAGGCTGGGTTGCTGGTCAGTTTGCTTTGCACATATCTGTGTGATAAAGAGTCCCTCGTGACTAGACAATCAAATATTCTGGGTCCTGCAAATGTGAGTTTATAAATTATCTGATTTATAAGTGATCTTCATGGATGGGCTTTAACATTTTCTTTAAAAATAAAGAATGAGTCTCTCCTGAAACAGAGCATTTGCTTTACAGTTATGATGTGGGAATGATTTCACTTCCTCTATTCAGAATATATTCTTGACTTGAAAGCTGAAATACAGAGGCTGACAACTGCTGACCCACAATGGGATATTAGGCAAAAGATGCTTAATGATTCAATTGCTTTGTTTTAGAGTAATAATTAATAAAGTTTTGACAAATGCACAAGGTTATATTCAAGGATATTTCCCTTTTACGTTGAGGTTTTGATAAGCATTGCTCCTGTGAGGAGACATTTGCATTGGTCTCCTCCACTTATTCTTTTCTGTTTCAGCATCCCTTGAAGCAATAGGTTACAGTATACATATTTATTTTACTTTTTCTTACCGTATCTGACATGAATATTGACTTAATTCAGCAATTTGTAAGATTTTGGAGCACAGAAATCCACTGAATCAATCACTTTATATGCATATGGCAGCATCAAGCCTGTAAAAATAAAATGCAAACTTCTGGAATCTGACTGATTCAAATCAATTTCTGGGGAGAGTCAATTTTTCTTCTCTGGAAACAATCTCTCAACATTTTGAACACTTCTACTTGAAACTAAAAATCAAAGAAAAGGTCATCTTAAAATCTCTGTGTACAAAATCAGTTTAGTTTGGTCTAACATGATTTTATGACAGTAGTCCAATCAGATGGAGCATTCTGAATTGGGCTGGAATGATACGACTTTCATATGCATCAGGAGCTGCCTCAGTGGTCACGTCTCAGTTTCTTACTAATTTTGGTGTGAAGCTGGTTAGCCATGTGCTGATGGGCCTCTGTGAAAAAATCAGCAAACAACCCCCCAAAACCCACCACAAAGCCCTGAAAAAACGTGGCATCCCTGCTGCAGTGCTCGGATGTCACTGCTGCAGTTGTCACGGTGGCTCAAGCCATGGGACATTGAGTGCGACATGCAGTAGAGTTCAGATGCCCCGTGGGTTCAGCCTCGTGCTGGAACAGTGGAGTCACCTCTGGCCTGTCCTTTGATGCTTTCATCAAACAGATAGCAAAACTTAAATGTTTATAAAGCACTTTACATAGTGGTGTATGGCACGATTTATCAGAGACATAGTGAAGTTTTGTATTAAGCTCCCCTTCACAAGTCCCAGATTCTGCTGCTTTCAGCACAGGCACAAGAAAGGTGTCAGGTGGAGCAGCAGAGCTGGATAAAGCAGTGGCAAGAAACACAAGACTGAACAATTGGCTGGGGAAATGACTCCAGTGCTCTTTGTGGACCAAGAAAAGTAAAAAGACTGTATATGATAGAATCAGGAGAGCAGTGCTTAGACCACAAAACTCTTCCATAAAAATAAAATAATGGAATATTTCTTTTCATATTTTAGCAGTTTTTGAAAATTAATTATCCCATTACAAAGGAGACAATGAAAAAATAATTAGTATGATAAAATACCTCCCAAAAAAATAAAAAGTTGCTAATTAAAATATTTGCCTTGTATTTAATAGTGCATTATGTTTCTTTTCCTTGTCCAGACCACTGGCTTCTTTGTACTAAAAGATGCTAATTTCTGCAGCCTTTCAGAACATTTACTAAAGCAAAATAATTAGCTTGCTTCTAAATGTCAAAGTTTTCTTGCACTTTCAGCATCTAGGTAACTTACTGACATTACAGCCCTGAGAGAGAATTAAGCCTATGGGAAGACAATTGATAAAACAAGGGATATTCAAAAGAGCAAACTATGCATCCATAAGAAAAAAAAGTATTTGAAAAAAGGCCAGTGCATAAATTTAGGCAGTGCTTCCTTGCACTCATGCTACATAGTCAATCAGTTTGCTAAGTAATTTCTGTCATATTGTACTAAAAGAAATTTCTTCAGAACTTTATTTGTAACATCTGCTTGTTGTAAGAATCACCTGCATTTCTTCTCATAAGAATATTTGAATTTTGCTTCTAAGGGCAAATGTTTTATCAGAAATGAGGAAGGAAGAAAAAAATTAACAAGTTTTCCTTTGGAGCTGCATTATTTCACCCAAGACTTTAGTTGTTTTGCCTTATTGTAGAGGTTTTTTGGTTCGGGACACAGGTTTTAAGGTGGGATTTCTGGGGGGGGGTTTTGTGTAATTTTGAATTTAATGGAGAATGTGTTATCAGACATCTTGAAAGGAGATAACTTTTTCAGTGAATATGATGCTTTTGGAAGAAAAAAAGAACAGCTATATCATGAGTAGTGTGAGACTTCCCTGTATCTTGCCTATTTTCCTGCTAAAATCTCCAATTCTTTTTAGGAAGAATGATTTCTACTAGGCAGTAAAGGTTTTTCAGTCTTTTTGTCTCTCCAGACCAATTTCCATAGCTGCTGCTGGGTGGGATGCTGACTTTTATAAGAGAAACTCTTGTCCCTGGAGTGTGATACTTCAGAGCAATGAAGAGTCACCAAATTGTTACTTTGGAAATATGTGGCCTAAAGATGGTCTCAGTTCATTTACTACTAGAAACAAAAGCTTAAGACAAAATGTGACATTTTGCATGTTATTGATCTCACATCCCAAGGCACAACTGAATGTATTCCATAAGTGGATCCATTCTTTTCAAGAATACTTTTACAGTTGCAAACCAAGGTTCAAAGAAAGGTGGTTCATAAATATTTAACTGATATTGCATTTTAGGGAAGCAATACCTAAGTGGCAGCAACGGTATCTTCATGGCACATATTTGACCTGCTATAAACACACACATTGCTCTGTAATTGCTGTTCAGCAGAGAACAATTTGATTAAAGGATAATTTAATCAGGTGTTAGAAAGGGAGGTTGGGGGTCATTCACCCCTAACTCATTGCTGCCCCACTGTTTTCTGGTCCCAGTCAGCAGTCATGAGCTGTCCTGTTCACCCTGTGTATCACAACAGTTTGGTTGGAGTTTCAGGCATCAACTCCAGCAAATGTGTTTCCTACCCAAGAATGCCTGTAAGGCACTCTGGGCAGGGGAGAGGGTTTTACCTCTGTGCTGATTTACTACCCTTTTACAGGTGCAAGGTGATTCTAGCAAAAAGTCATTTGTGTATTTGAGGAGTCTGATCACTATTTCATTTAAGGAAGCTGATGACTCTGTCCCCCTTGGAAAGGGGAGTTACAGAGTGAATTCAGGCAAGGAGAGGCCGAATCTTTCTGAGATTCTGTTAAACCCAGAAAGGCAGCACCAAAGCAGTGTGGCTCTGAATGCTCCAGAGTTTGAAGGTTTGCCCAAGGAGGGCCTCTGGAACTGTTTTCTGTGGTAAACTCTTACAAATGACTTTCCTAAGGCAGACACCTGAGCAGTCTTCCTCCCTTGGGCATTTCCTTAGGCAAACAGGGGTCACTGAGGGATGAAGGCCACGCTGCTACCTTACAGTTGCCAACTAGGAGAGACAGAGCTCCCTTCCCTGCCATGGAGTTGTTTCATTTTATCCTGTGTGTCTCTTATCAGTGCTTTCAGCCACGTTGTCTGATTTGAGTTGTTTATTTGTGTTTCATTGTAGGCTCAAAAAAAGGGTTCTTTAAAGAAGCTGAATAATGGGGCATTCCTTACCTGAGGAATGGAGGGATTCCACAGCCTCTGTCAGTCCTCCTGCAAATCTCTGCTCACACCAGAAGGGTAAGATGATGAACTTGGCTCTTTGGCAATAAGTTTATGTGAAATTCTATCATCTAATTTTTCTTGTCCTATTAGGATTTAGCTCCCCTGTGGTGTAGGTAGTGATCCAAAAGAGTGTGATGTAAGAGGTCCTCAGCTGAGTGTTTTTAAATTAGTGGACCTTTAAAAAAGTTCTGGGAAGAGGGAGATGAATACCAGGGTTGTTATCTGACTCCCTGAAATTCTGCTCCAGGTAACGATTTCCTGTACTTGAGTTGCATTTTTTGGAGAGATGAGAGAAAAGGATTTTAGTTATATCCTTCCCTGAGAGGGTCTGCCTGTGAATCAGCAGAGTAAGGAAGAGCTGGGGAGCGAATTTGTACGTCAGAGCTCACATCTGCAGGTGTTTAAATTTACAATCCTGATTTAAGGTTTCTTCAGGATTTTTTTTGTTTTAAGGTCTAAAGTGTGCTAATAATAGGATAAAGTACATATAAATGTAGGTTGTCATTTGTCAAATGTCTCTTATTCTAGTTTCTTCATCTTTCAGTATTAATAAGTTATCAGAGTTACTGACCAAATATATTTTGATTTCTGGCTCTTTTTGAACAATATTAAGGCATCTGGGAAAGAAGTACAGGCTAAAAAAGCCTTATTCCCAGAAGAAACAGGGCGTGCTTTTTTTTTTTTTTTTTTTTTTTTTTTCCCCTTTTGTTTGTTAGTTTTTGTTTGGAGTCTTTTGTTTGTTTGGGTTTTTGTGAGTGTCTGTTTTTGTTTGGCTGGTTGTATGGTGGGTTTTGTGGTTTATGATTGGTTGGTTGGGGGGTTTGTTTGTTTGTTTGTTTGGGGGGGGTTGGGTTTTTTGGGGGTTTTTTGAAAAGTGAATTCTCTGTTTTGGACAAATGAGAAGGAGCAAGTGTTCACCAGTTCCACATTAGCACATGCATTTTGAAGAGGTGCTGTGTATTTTTCAAGTGAACAAGTTTGAACACCATCTTCAGTACAGAGTTTGCAGTGTTTTATAATTCATCCTTTTCACACAGAACAGGGGGTCGATGCAGCAAGGTAGGGAGATGATCCCAAATCTAGACAACTGCAGGAGTCAGGATACTTGTTTTCCCTGGGCAAAACTGGATATATTTAGAGCTGTGGTGCACCCAGAAATAAGTACATAATATTTCACATTTCTTTTCTCTGAGCATCAGTGCAAACTCTTTCTCTTGATGCAGTGTATCTGTGGCAAGAGTCTTATTTCAGTGAAGCAGTAAATAGATTGAGGTACCTGCTGGGGGTCTGCTCTTTTGGGACTCTGTTCATGTTTAAAACAAGGACTGTCTTCTACCTGTGTGTAGAATAACTGTGGAGTTAGAGAAGGACTAAAGCTGCAGTAGAAATGTTAATTTTCTTCCTAGTAAGTAATGCTGCTTTGGAAAAGGATGCACCCATATAAGAGAATCCAAATACTTTCTGAAGAATTCTATTGTTGCAAACCCACTGAATATGACCCTCAAAGCCCCAAAAACTTTGCTGTGTGTTGGAGCAGATGCAGGTCTGTTCCGGGGTGGTTGATAAGGGTTCTGATGGGTTTTTTCAGCTTACTGTATTTTGAATGAGTTGTTGGGAAGCCCTAGGCTAAAGCAGGGTGCAGATTTCATTGAATGGAATAAAAAATTCTCTCTTTCAGGAAGATAATTTAATAATGTGACAGCATGTATTCAATTATTTAGATTTAAAGCATCTGATTAGTAAAGTCTTTAGAAATCTTGATTACAAGCATCAACAATCATTCTGCATATAAGTATCTTGACTATTTAAACTTCTCTCATCTCAGACTATTTAATATTGTTTTTCTAACTATGCTACAGTTCAATGAGTCCTGTGAGCACTCTCCCTTAGTGCTCTAATTGCCTGGCTTCTGCAGATACCATATCAGTCCATCAGTATTAATGCAGCAGAAAGCAAGTACACTTGTGTCTCTACAAAGCCAATTTAAAATATTTCTAGAATATACTTTTGAATTACTTTTTCTTCATCTTATTTTAGATAACACTTTGATTTAAATAAAACTGCCTGTGGGGCATTGTAGATTGATCAAAAAGTGCTGTATTGTTCTATTAGTTTAAATTCTTGGTCCTGCAATAAATCATTTGCCTACTTCATTTGCATTTTTCAAGTTCTTAATTTAGTTCCAGCATAGGATTGTCTCAAATGGAGGAGGCAGAGATGTGAGATGAAGTGTGGAGGAGCAACAGTTATTGAAGAGGTACATGTAGCAGAAAGGATTTTGGCTGAAATATGTAATTAGAAGCTTTTTAAGAATGAAGCAAAGGATTTCAATTTCCCTCCAGTCTATATGAATAGACAGAAATTTTAAATGAGGGCTGCAGTGTGGGGTGGAGGGAAGATTACAGGACATGGTGTGTCAGGTGCATGTTTATTAGTAAGAATCTGACCTGCAATACTCAGATGAAAGCACCCTTTTCTCTGAGTGAGTATCTTCAGATAAATGCTAATCTTTAGCCTATGCCCTTGAAAGAACTCACAGGGAAGATTTCTTTCAGGGTTTTACTGCTCTTTATGTAGCTTTGCTTTTGAAATGGGGTATAAAATTTTTCTTTGGTTGTAATTATAGAAAACAGTTGACTGCTTTTCTTCAGCAAAACAGAACAATGATGTTCTTTAAATAGGTCCATTTATTGAAGAACTATTATATTAAGCAAGCTGAAGATTTACCTTTTTCTTCTTCCCTCTAATACATACATAGAACTTTGCAATCCTATAATTATGGCTTCTCATTTTTGGCATACAAATTGTTGGCAAATGGTTTTTCATTTGTTCTTTTGTGCTGAAATGTAGAACCTGGAACATTGTCTTCTTCCTGTGTTTGATTTCTGGGCATCTTTACTCCTCTTCTGGCCTGTTGTGTCTGTAAAACTGTGAACTAGTGAAATTTTTTCTCTGAGAAGTGGATGAAAGGAAATATTTCTTGAATTTGGCCCATTAATTTTTTTCAACACATTTTTTTGAAATTTTTTCTTTTTAAGTAGTGCAGAGTTGTTCCTGGGAAGGTGTTTTCTGGATGTAGACCTCTAGCCTGTAGTCACAGAATCACAGAGTCATCAAGGTTGGAAGAGACCTTCAAGTACGAGTTCAACCATTAACCCAGTGCCACCATAACCACCCTAAACCATATCCCCAAGTGCCACATCCAGATGCCATTTGAACACTTCCAGAGATGGTGACTTCACCACCTCCCTGGGCAAACTATTCCAATGTCTGACCCCTCTCTGAGTGAAAACCTTTTTTTTCCAAAATCTATTCTGAACCTCCCCTGGAGAAGGAGTTATGCACAAATGTACCTTCATGAATCTGGGTCAACTAACGTGTGGTTGACTGATTAGACTTGCAAATTGCTGCCAAAATCTTTAACCTAGAATTCAAAGAAACTGCACACCAAAAGAAACCAGCTGAGAGCCCAATATTTCTTCTCTGTGATGCCTTCAAAAACATTCAGTAGGTGTCACGTGGCAGAGTGTACAGATGAAGTTTGTGGACTCTATTTGGCAAACACATTCAAATGTGTTATTCATCAGCAAGAAACCACAGGTCTGCCTGTCTTGATGTTCAGAGAAATAAATATTTCAGTGAGGTTGGGAGGTGGAGGGCACTGCTTCACATCACAGTAGCAGTGCTCTGGCAATAGCAGGTAGCTACGAGGGCTCAAATTTCTGCAACATGAACTGTCAAAATTCTTCAGTTTTGATGAGAATGAGGAGCCCAGCAGACACTCCCAAATTCATGACAAGGCAAGTTTTATGAATGTGAGCAGACAAGGACTAATTTTAACCTTGGAAGGACAAATATACAGAAAGCAATTGTATCAATTGTTATTAGATTATTATGCTAGAAGGGCCTCTGTCCTGTTGCATGAATAGAAAAGAATTCATAATTTATAATATAATTTGGCAATTTATAGCTAGCAGCCTATAACTTTGAAAGTGACTGCTGTCTTTGTGTGATGGCTCATCAGTTTTGACTATGAAATGTGAGATTCCAGAGGTCTGAATTTTTTAAAGCATGTGAAACAACCAAAATTAAGTCCCTGATAGTTGTATTGCTGGAAAACATAAATTTATCTCTGATATTAAAATGTCCTAAGGAAGACATAGTTCATTTATTCTACCATTCCCCACAAATATAATAGCTAAATATTAGATATTTTCAATGTGCAAACTACTGTGGAGCTGGAAAACACAGAATGCATTTTAGAAAATGATGAGAAATGTTTATTTTGCTGCATGTCATAGGTCAATTTAGATAGTCTTAGTTCTTAGTGGAGACATATTGATTTTCATGTCTGTCCTATTAGTTAGAATGGTATATACATGATACCAAATGTGAAGAGCAGCCGAGGTTCATATATCACAGTCCCAATGCCAACAAAGACCTTTTTAACGCTCAAAAATAGTGGAAACAGAATGAAATAAAGGCCAATATTCAAATACCAAGTTAATTGAGAAACACAAAAAGGATCGCTTTTCCTCTGGTTTTTAATATTTCTTTATTGAAGATGTGCCTGGGTGCAATTGCTTTGATAGTTTGAGTAGCTTGGATCTGTTACAATTCTGTTGTCTGTAAATCATGTGTTAGACACAATAATATTTTTTTCACTCCTCCACACCTCTGGGCCCAGCAAACAAAACAGCTTAAACTTACTGTGTTTTAAGGGTATTCTTCTGCAGCTGATCACACAGCCAGATGTGCTGGGATGTCTGTCCTGTGAGCCCAATGAGCTGAAGCCCTTCTTGCCTTCCAGCTCAATCTATTTCAGCAAGAAATACTTTCAGACTTTGGACAAGAGAAAGAGCACGAGGTTGGGATATTTTAGGTAGGCTTTCTGACAGAACTGGAAAGATCCAGGAAATTTTTTTGACCAAGATATTACCTTGTGGACTAATAGGGATAAGAGGAACTGCTGGTTTTCAGCATCTTCATCATCTGTGAACATATATACTTTAACT